TCCCAAGATTATTCTTCTGCAACTGTCACTCTGTTTGTGCAGCCCTTTTGAATAACAGCATATAGTTGCTCTACATTTTTTGCCAGTCATAACCCAGGATCTTGTTGACATTGGATACCAGTGTTATTTCTTAAGTACCTACTCTCTACTCAGGAAAAGTACATTATTGTCTTTGTTAGTTTCCTTCCCCAAACTCCTTGCACATCTGAGTCAAAATAATAACTACTAAAACTACAGTATATTAAGGCTGTATGATATGTCAATTACTGCACTAATCCTTTTACATACGATTTTTTTTTGGCGGTACACGGGCCCCTCACTGTTGTGGCTTCTCCCATTGCGGAGCACAGGCTCCGGACGTGCAGGCTCAGCGGCCATGGCTCACGGGCCCTCCTCTCCGCGGCATGTGGGATCTTCCCGGACCGGGACACGAACCCGTGTCCCCAGCATTGGCAGGCAGACTCTCAACCACTGCGCCACCAGGGAAGCCCTTACATACGATTTTTGCTGATCTTTACAACCAGCATACGTGGTAGTTATAGTAGACCTTCTCTATCTATCTAAACTAAGGATTAATTGTTTCAGGAATTCATAGTTGAAGAAACTTAAGGTTTTATAGAAAACTGTGGTGTGAGGTAAATGAGTGAAAGCATATAAATAAACAAACTTTTGCTGAAATAAAACAATCAAAATGCATTGTAAAGAAAGAGACTATCAATTACACATTTTAAAATTTTGCTGTAATAGGTATAGTATCATTAATTTACATTTAATATTTTGCATGCTACATACATTTAAATAGGATATCCCTTTCTAACCCCCATCCAGCATCAGGAAAATGGTTGTAAGTTTGTTCTACCTTATTGGTAATGGTGTGCATTTTAAGTGGCATTTTTTCCCCCAACCCATCATCTTTTCTTCAAATACTCATTGCTTTATTGGTTTTGTAAATTTGGAGTTGTTTACTACCAAGGTCTGGGACTCTATAGCTCAAGCCATCCATCTCCCTTATTCATTCTTAACTTTCACTGTGCTTGCAAGATAGGAGGCTAGGTCTGGGTTTACTTTCCCTCAGATTTCTTTCTCTCTTTCCAAGGCTCCTTTGCAGAAACTTTCACTCCCAGTCTGCCATCTACTTTCTCCTTCTTTTATTTTTCTATCTTTCAGTAATTCCTTTCTGTGTTTCTCTACATCACACAAATTTAACAATATTAACAACATAGAGATGAGGAAACAGCAGTCGGGACTTCTTTTAGATTATCAGTAAGTGAAAGCTTTGGGATTGAAATTTAGATCTGAGCCTTCCAAGTTTCAGGTTTTTTTCTTACTACCACATTTCCTTTCATCCTCTTCACCCTACCCAGAATCATATTTTTCTCAACATTTTATTACCTTCTACTTCAAGGCTAAGCTTAGTGTCCAGTTCCTCAATGAAACCATTTAACTGCCATTAGTTGAGCCCAGCTGAACTCTTGGCCTCTGTACCCTTAAATGTAATAGACTGTAGCACATGCATTTGTGTTTAATTGTTTGCCATCATGTTATGTGTACGGTGTATCCCTGGATTCATTGTTAAATCTATCTATCTATCTATATCTATCTATCTATCTATCTATCTATCTACATATATAACTGAATCACTTGGCTATACACCTGGAACTAACACAATATTGTAAATCAACCAGAGTTCAATTTAAAAATCCAAAAAAATTTAAAAAGGAGTATCAAACAATATCTGGTAGCATGCAGCATTAGGTGGGGATATAAAATATAAGATCTAGAAGAGGTTCAAGAATGAAAAAAATCATTAGGCTTGGATAAGCAGATAATTCCTCAAAGAGAAGAGCTAGGCCTTTAGGAGAAGGCTTTTGAGAGGGTAGAGAAGGGATTTTTGGCAAATATTTTGTAAAAGGTACAAAAGCACAAATGTGAACAGTCTTTTCAGGGTATGGCTTATCTTAGAGCTTTTAGTTATGTGAGGATGTTGTTGGATAAAAATGAAAAATGTTGGGCTTCCCTGGTGGCGCAGTGGTTGAGAGTCCACCTGCTGATGCAGGGGACACGGGTTCGTGCCCCAGTCCGGGAGGATCCCACATGCCGCGCAGCGGCTGGGCCCGTGAGCCATGGCCGCTGGGCCTGCACATCCGGAGCCTGTGCTCTGCAATGGGAGATGCCACAACAGTGAGAGGCCTGGGTACCGCAAAAAAAAAAAAAGAAAAATGTTGAGATGATATTAGGGATTGATGGTAATGTGATATTTGGTTAGATAAATAAATGGAGACTTAACAGTGTTTATAGAATAGAAGGCTTAACATTGTTAAGAAGTCAGATGTCCCCATATTTATCTGTAGGTTCAAAGAAATACAATAAAGATCTCAGAAGACTTTTTTTTTTCTTTTTTTTGGTAGAAATTGACTAGCTGGTTCCAAAATGCATATGGAAATGCAAAGGACCTAGAATAACAATTCTGAAAAAGAATAAAGTTAGAGGACTAACCTTACCTTTCTCAAGACTTACTGCAAAACTATTGTAACCAAGGCCATGTGATATTGGTATAAAAATAGAAACAGAGATCAGTGAAGTAGAATAGAAAGTAAGGAAAAGATTGAGACAGATATAGTCAGGTGACTTTCAATAAAAGTGCCATGAAAACTCAGTGGTAAAATGTGCAATCAACAAATAGCCCTATAAGAATTAGATATCCAATATTCTGTAATAACCTAAATGGGAAAAGAATTTGAAAAAGAATAGATACAGATTCAGTATATAACTGAATCACTTCACTGTACACCTGAAACTAACACAACATTGTTAACCAACTATACTCCAATATAAAATAAAAATTAAAAAAGAATTAGATATCCATATGGAAAAACAAAAAAACTGAACCACAAACCTTACCTCACCCCATATACAAATTAACTCAAAATTAATCATAGGTCTAGACATAAGAGTTCAAACCATGAAATCTCTAAGAGAATACATAAGTGAAAATGATACATACATATCATAATAAAAAATTATTTCCAGGTGGAAAACTAAAAATTCAGAAAAGCAAAATTTAAGACCTTTAGAAGAAGATATAGAATGTTTTTATAACCTTGAGGCAGAAAGGGATTCCTTAAACAAAACACAAAAACTACCTAATATAAAGCCAAAATTAAAAATATGATTATATTTTTAAAAACTGTTCTTCTTAAAACCACCATTTCCCTCAAAAATGTGAAAAGATGAGCTACAGATTGGGCCAAAGATATTTGCAACATATTTAATTAAGAAAGTGTTAGTATACAGGATAAAGACATCTTATATAGATCTATGAGAAAAAAACACTCAACAAAGATTGGTAAAAGACAGGTTCTAACAGTTTTCAGAAGGGGACATTATGACTCATAAACTTACGAAAGAACATTGAACCGCACTATAATCAGGGAAATGCAATTAAAATCACATGATACCTTTTTACAATTACAAGTTTGGTGGTATTTAAAGGGTCTGAATATACCAAGTATTGGTGAGGGTGTGGAGAGACTCAGAACCTCTCTACAATGCTGTTGGGAATTTGCACTGGTATAAGCATTTTGAACTGAAATGTGTCAGTTTGCCAAAGTTGAAAATGCCTGTGTTCTTTGACTCAGAAATTCTGTTTCTAGCTATATATCCTGGAGAAACTCACACATGTTCGTAAGGAGACATATGAAATTAGTTATTACATCAGTATTCATAATAGCTAAAATTCAAAACAATACAGTGCCCATCTGAAAAATAATGGATGAATATATTTTAGAATAATCATGAAAGATAATACTATATGCTTGTTAAAATGAACTAGCTAAGTTATCACTTACCAACTTCTGAATTAAGTTGGCTTCCTATTTAGACCTACCAGAACAGAGAATAAAAATACTGCCAATCCAAAAAATAAATTAATTTAATTTAATTAAGTAAAATAAAATGAACTAGCTAGAATTGTATTTATAACCATGGATAAATTTCATATATAATGTTGAGTGAAGAAAACTAAATTGTAGAAAGAGAGGTATATTTCATAATGTTTGAAAACTGTAGATGTACACATATTGTGCTTCTTCATGTGTATGTATTATTTATATTTCAAAGCATCAGTAGAAAGGCTAAGCATCAAAATTAATGATAGTTACTTCTGTAGAAGCAGAGAAGGGAATAGAAGACAAATAATAAAGGGGCTTTGGCTTTTTTGTAATACTGTTTTTAGAAAAAAGTCTGACTCAAATATTGCAGTGCCAGGATTTGATAAAGTTGGGTGTTGGGTACATGAGTGTTTATTATCTAATTCCCTCTGCATTTCTCCATGATTGAAATACTTCATTTTGAGGAATAAAAAATGGTATATATAAAACATGTATATAACTTTGAAGGCATTATATGATAAACTACAATAATACTATATATAGCTCCTAGACATAAATAAATATACATACACTCATGTGTGTGCGTGTGTGTGTATATGTGCATTTATATACATGTGTATATCTATCTACCTATATAGATACACTTATGAGCATTACACATACACTTAACAAGCATTACATAATTCAAGTATACAACTTGAATAGGAAGGATTCCCTGCAATTCCTGGTGATATTTTTCCTTGGGTAGGAGAGGTGGGATGAGGGTTATGTATGAGGCCCAAAGGGTATTTCAGTTGGCTCTGTTATGTTTTATGTGATTTATTATGGGCTAAAAGATGGTTTAAATATGTCATCCCTTAGCAGTTATCAGTTCTTTGTGATAGGAGTGTGGATGTTGGATAAACGGAATCTCTCCACTTATTGCTTATTTCTGTTTTTCAAAATAATTTTTAGAAAAACATTAAGCTTTTGACTAAGATCTGGAACCAGGAGACAAATTTTGAATCAATAAGAGTATCTTGAAAATCAATTTTGTCAACTCATTTATTGGGAATGGTAATATATTATCAGAAAAACTAATTGTGGGTAATTTTTTCCCTCTTCCCGAAGAATACAAGTCAATGACCAGATTGTGGAAGTGGATGGAATCAGCTTGGTGGGTGTCACACAGAATTTTGCTGCAACAGTTCTCAGAAACACCAAGGGCAATGTCAGGTATGTGGCTTGAGACGTACAATTTGGTTACTTGATATTTTGTTGAATTTTAGTTTTCTCTCTAACTGTACCTATAATTACAGGAAGAATTTTATCTAAATACTAAAAACTTGCCTTTAGTTTAAAATTTTTCCTTCTTTATTGTAATTAGTTCATAAATGTAATTTAAAACTAAAAATTATAGTATTCTAGAAAGACACAAAGATGTGAAGTGTACAGTGCGAATCAATATGGTTAATTACCAAGCTATGTTAGTTTCTCTTATTGCTAACATAGCAGTAATTTCTAGGAAGATAGAATTTCTCAATAAATATGAATTTAGACTCCAGATCCTTTCAATAAAACCAGTTATACAGTAAATTGAAATTGAAATGATGATACATATATCCAATGATACATGTTACTAGACAAGCAGGCTGAATGATAAATCATTAACCTTAAAAGGTTAATAAATGCATTTTTAAATCTCTTTATTGTTTTAAAGAATCAGGAAGGACTAATCTTTGGTAAACTATAACTTTTCCAACTTAATAGGACAGAGGGTACATTACTTTGGACCTTAAATTTATATCCAACCCTGGGGTCCTGAAATTTGTAGCTTGGAAAACAAATAAAGTAGTCCTGAGCCAACTAAGGTCAAGGTTTGAAATCCATTTTATTTGGCCACAGGGTACTTATTTTTTAATATAGTATTGCTTATGCCTTATACTTTTCCTATAAAGGAACACATAAGAGGACATTATTTACTGTGTGTAGTTATGAAAGTGTTTTAGTGTTATCATCATCAAAATGAAACTGCCAAATATTCTGAAAATATCAATTAGTTAATATTGCTATAAAGAGAGTAACATTAGGATATTTTTGCAGCATATATATATATATATATATATATATTTTTTTTTTTTTTTTTTTTTCGGAGCACAGGCTCCGGATGCCCAGGCTCAGAGGCCATGGCTTACGGGCCTAGCCGCTCCGTGGCACATGGGATCTTCCCAGACCGGGGCACGAACCCGTGTGCCCTGCATCGTCAGGCGGACTCTCAACCACTGTGCCACCAGGGAAGCCCTATTGCAGCATATTTTATGTTGCACAAGCATGGGTTTAGGTTTTATAATTTAGACTTTTTCAATTGGAAAACATCCTTTAACAATGAAAGGAGTGTTTAAAGAATACAACCTAAATGACTTCTATGGATGCTATTTTAATGCTTCAAGAATACCCATCATCCTAAGAAAAGTATGTAAAATAATTGGAAAGAG